ATATATATATCTAATAGTATATAATATATATAGTATATATATATATATATACTATATATATATATATATATATAATATATGATATAATATATATATATATATAATTATATATTTAATACTATATATAGATATATATTATTATATATATTAATATAATATATATATATATATATTATATTATAATATACTAATTATATATATGGTATGTAATAGTTGATTAAGAAGGGAGAGAGAGAGAGAGAGAGAGAGAGAGAGAGAGAGGTAGTATATAGATACATAGGTAGATATGAATATTATGTATATAATTTGTGTTGTGTGATGTATGTGTGCGTATATATATATTATATATAATAATATAATTATAGTATATTGATATATAATATATATATATATTATATATATAGTATTATATATATATATTAACTATTATATACACACACACACACACAATACACACACACACCTATATTACAGGTATAATTCAAATCCATGTGTGTGTGTACAATATTGTTAACGTATCTTTTAAAGCCGTTTTGCAAGAGATTTCCTCACAGATCTGACAATGTTCGCGGGTCGTAAAGCGCACTACTTGCCTGCCGCAGCTCAAGCCCCTGGGTCTCCCGTCTCCTGAAGCGCAGCCGAGGAGGGACGGCGTCTGCTGCAGAAGGCGAACCGCGAGCTGCTAGTAAGTTTACTGGGAGAAAGGTCAGGTCACATTTGCATACTTCCTTCCTGGCATCTGCTGCGGTTCTACATGGCTAAATGACACGTAATTTTGAAAGCTTCGTGTGTTATGAAAGCTTTGCGTTGGCTGTCGTTGCACCTTTTCCACTGTTCGTATGCATATGGTTTCCCCTACACACTAAGCTGTTAGCTCTCAGGGCTTTGCAACCTCCCATCTGCATGTGATTGCAACATTCAGCACGTGATTTAGGGCATGGAACGACATCTGCTCATATCAGAATGTTGTAAACTAGAATTGTACGAGAGACTTATCCTGGTGGTGTACTAGACGGTGTTCCTAGCACACTATATACCCGGATGATGTCCATCTAGAATATTATCTCTCTACAACTTTACGCATGATGACGTAAATCGCAGAAAGAAATTGTAATCCCTTGTAATTTGGCAGAAAGAAGAAACACGTTTTATTTGCTCGGTGGAACATAATGGAGTTTATTCCCTTCTCTTTTCCAGCTGGTTTGATAATCTCTAAAAACTGACAAACCAGAACAAGAATAGCCTAAGAATGAGAGAATAAGAGGGGCTCTTAGTTAATAAAAACCCCACAAGAGAGGAGCTTGCAGTTTAAAGCTAATTTCCCTGGATGTTTAAAGTCGATCGCTGTACATCAGGGTACAGGGAAATGAAGAAATATAAAGAAAGGATATCAAGGAAAAACAGTAAAAGCCTGTAGCTACTGCGTTGACTTTTAAATGTTTCCTAACTGATTATTGAAAACATTATACACAAAGACAAACAGACACACACACACAACAACACACACACAACACAACACACACACCACACAGGCAACAACAAACACAACAAAACACACACACAACACACACACACACCACACACACACAACCACAACACACGCACAACACACACACACCACAAAAACACACACACAACCAACCATATCTACACAACACACCAAACCAAAATACAACCTATTAATACGTATTGTATGTATATCTTGGCGCGTGTTGTGCGTGTGTATAACTAATTTTGCAAAGAATTGGCGACAGATATCCCCTGCTTATGCTCTTTGAACTAATAGATCCAGCATAGCAAAGGACAATTCCATTGATAGAAGAACATCAGCAGCACGTACAGACAATCGCCTCAGAAACGATATCAAAAATCAAGAGAAATTCTCAGTGAAAGATTAGCTGACAGAATTGATATGATTATTGATTGTGTTTATTAGATAATTGGAGGAT